CAGTCTTCCTTCCTTCCTTCCTTCCTTCCTTCCTTCCTTCCTTCCTTCCTTCCTTCCTTCCTTCCTTCTTTCCTGTGTCTGTTCTGTTTGTTTGGTGCTGGTTGTCGTATAGTTGCTATTGATACAGTTGATCTTCTATAATTCTGATGTTGTCATATTACTACCAGCAAAGTAAATCTGAGACATTCAATCTCCAGAGAGAAATAGAGTCTGTGTTCCTACTCAATTCTAGACCCAATTCAAGAACAGTTAGTTCTGATAACATGGCCCTGCTTGATAGTAAACTTCATCAAATGATTATTGGAGATAATAGTGCTACAGCTAAGTGTGGTGAAGAAAGTAGATGGTGCCTGGCTATCAATCTGAATAGTGCCTGGGGTCATAAAGTCATGTATTCAAACAAGCATTCATCTAAGCAAGGAGTCAATGAAGTCCACATGGAAGAAGGACACGAGCTTGTGTGATCCAAAGATAATAATTACAAAATTGGAATAAGGCGAAGGGGAAAGTATCAGAGATAAAATTTGGAACATCCAATTTGTAGAAGACTGTGGAGGAGAGTGGGAGCCCAAAGCACATCTGTAGAATTTCTAGTCAGACTGAGCCCATGGCAGATCCCCTCTAGTAAATCTATACAATAACAAAATTAATGGTTTCCTGGGGTACTGCAGGGGAAGTTAAGAGGGAATTTTGAGCTAATAATGATGAGCTTAAGAAAGAAGAAGATTTGCTAAAATTGGTTATGATGATGATTGTATCCCCCTTTTAAATATGATTGAACTACTTAATTTTATATATGTGAATTACTTGGCAATAAAACTATCTTGTAAAAAGAAGGGCCTATGAACCTGCTCTCATTATTGATTGAATTGTAATGTTCTTTTGAATAAAAAAGTACTTGCCTGCTTAAAAGAGAAATGTATGATCTCCCCGTTTTCAAGGTTTTAAATTAGAAACCAAGTAGCAGCAGCAGGAATGCCAAAGCCTGAAAGGCCCTTGAGGAGAACGCATTCAATGCCTCTGCCAGCTGCGAGATGAATTGATGGCTCCAGGAACCCCTTGGTTTTTGACCATAGGACCCCAATGTTTCTCCATGTGATCTCCGACTTTTCTCTGTACTTTCTGCGCTGTCTATGTTACAAGAAGGAAATCGATTGCAAGTAGGGCTATCAGGATAACCCTCCTTCAATTTCCTCTGCAAATTTATTTTCACCAATAAGATAACAATCACATAGCAAAAGAATTAAGAAACAACTGAAAGGTGAGACCAACATGCATAGAAAACTTTCCCCCAGCTGAGGATATCCTCAATATAAAGGGAACAACTTTAGTTTTAAGAGAATATGATTTCATAGAGAGGAACATCACCCAAAATGCAAACTGAAAAACTGAACAGTGTATTATTAATATGTGCACTGAAACAGGCACAGTGGTTCTATAGGAAGACCAAGTTTGTGCTTAAGGATACATCAAAAACCATCAAACTACAGATAAGGGCATCTGTCATACTAATGACCAAGGAATGTAGAATAAGTAGAGCACACACGCAGGACTTCACGTTACTGTGTACCTCAGTGGGTGACATATGGCCACATAGCAGACATAATAAGACATTTCTGCAAGAAGAAAATTATTTACCAACAAAGCAAAATCAGGACAAATATATTCTGGTTGAAGTGGTTTATGTAAGTGTTGCTTAGACCTATCAGCATGTTTGTTCATTAGCAATTTGGGAATGGTAGCAGTTCTTACACTGATATCATTAAAGTGCATTTTGAAGAGAAAGGAGCACATGGGGTGTGCATATGGTAGTCATAGGTGACAGTCAAGACAATGAACAGATTTCCAAGTACAGTGACCAGATACATGGTCAGGAAAATGGTAAAGAGGAGAGGCAGCAGTACTGGATCTCTGGAGAAAGAACTTTGAAACATATGTTTGGTTTCTGCCTTCTATATTCATGAATCTGATTGAAAACATTGAATAACAAGACAATCAAATGAATGGTCCATCAAAGTGCTAGCTATAGCAACAGCCTCGGAGGCAGATATTATCTTGAGGAAGGATGAAGAGGAACTGAGTTAATCCTCAAGAAAGAAATGTCTGTTGTCATCTCCGGAAAGATGATCACACCCTCATAGGGGATGAAGGAGCGCACTTTGCAGCGAGTTACATGTTGGGCTGCCAAGTGGAAGGTCAGCAGTTTAATTCCACCATCCACTCATTGGGGAAAGACAAAGCTTTCAGGGAAAGACAAAGCTTTCTACAGTCTTTTTAGAAATCCACAGTGGTAGTTCTCCCCTGTGCTACAGGGTATACAGGAGCCAACATGGACTCAATGGCAGTGCTATTGGTTTGACAAAGGAAGAATGTCTAAGTGAGATGTCACAGGCGATCTGCAGTCTTTGTATCCCTGAAGTCTAAATATCCCACATTTCTACTTCTTGTTTGGTATTATCGTGTACACTCCACCCAGAATGACCATATGAGCAAAATAATGAAAAACTTCACAGTCCAGCACAATTGTTCCTATGACTGAGCCCACTGATGCCACCACAGTGTCAATTCAATCTCCTCGAGGGTCTTCTTCATTTTTGCCACCTCTCCAATTTACATGACATAACGTCCTGCTCTGGGGAATGCTCTTTTCTGACAATCTAGCCAAAGGCTGTAAGAGGAGGTTTTTCCATCCTTGCCTATAAGGAACAGTCTGGCCTTACTTTTTCTGATACAGATCTCTGTGTCCTGTTTGCAGTCCATGGTACTTTCCATATTCTCCTCCAGTGCCACAATTCAAATGCATACATTCTTCTTGGGTCTTCCTTATTCAATATCCAAGAGATTTTCCTCTGTCATTGGCCCTTGCCACAAACTGGAAGTGTGCAGTTCCCCAACTCTCCTGACTAAGTTTTCCTGATCCCAGAGCTAATTAGGGAAGCTGACTGGCCAAGCTACAGGGACGTAGCTCTACATAGCTAGCCTGGGGCAGATAGAAGCACAAATACACTTGGTTTTCAGCCCAATCCAGGAGATCCTCAGTCCACCTCATTC